ATTTATTTTGTTTATATTAATTTATTTTTATTTTTTTAAAGAATGGTAAAGAGATTATTTTTAAAGAGCAAAATAATGGAATGTGGTGGAAAACTACACAAAATACTTTGCCTATAGGGTCAAAAATTTTATCAATTATTTTATTTTCAGATACTACAAATTGTGACATATTGGATAAAAGTCAGCTTCACCCAATATATATGTCACTAGAAAATATTTCTACTTGGTGAAGAAATAAGCAGGATGCTAAGCAATTATTAGATTATTTGCTAATAATTAAAACATCTATTAAAAATAAACCAATAGTCAGACAAACCTTTCATAGATATTTAGAAATTATATTAGATCCAATTCACAACCTTTCACACGCTAGCATAAATTTCTTAATTAATAACAAATTTGTTTGGATATATCCAAAAGTTTCGACTATAATCACAGATTGGCCAGAAGCTGCAACCTTTTGTCTGACATATAAATCAATGAATTCAAATCATCCTTGCTATTTTTGTTTAGTAAATAGAGATGATTTAGCTAATACAAACTGTTCTAAACATGATCTGGTACTTAGAAATCATAAAAATATACGAAATAGTTTGAATAATGGTAAAGAAAATATAGTATGTATAGAATCTATAGCAAATTATTTTTAGAACTTTAAGTAAGTAGTTTGTTTTATTTAATTTGATTCTAATAACTTTAAAATAATTTAATATTATCAGTTAAAAAATAATTAAAAAATTATTCGAATTAATTAAATATAATTCAATAATTTTAAAAATATTGCGAATTGTTGTAAAATAGATTACAATAATTCAAAATAATCATATCAAATTTGAAACATTTCGAATTATTTTAATCAATTTCATATATTATAGAAATGATAAATATATAACATTTAATTTTATATTAACTTTTATACTTTTATTAATTTTAGTAATATCAATATTTATGAAGCTACTATAATTGACCAAATGTACCATTTAGATTTGGGATTATTTAAATACCAAATTAATTTTATATTGGATTTGTTAAAAGAACAATATAGTGCTTCAATTCTAGATAAAATTGATAATAGATTAGCTAATATTCCAAGGTTTCCAGAACTTAAAATTTTTAAAAATAGAATTCAAGCTCTTGCTAGAATTACTGCTAATGAATATTTTAATCTTATGAAGATTATGATATTTGTTCTGGATAATCTAAATATAGACAAAACTATTCAAAAAAAATTATTGAAGCTTTATAAAGATTGAAACAATATGTATATTTTAAGTCGATCAGAAGAATTTTCTGAAAGTGACTTAAATAAATTTGAGGTATTTAAATTGTTTCACAACTATGCGATTTAGTATAAATTATTTTGAATTATTTTAATTAAATAATTTTATTGCAAATATTAATATAGTTTTATTTATTTAGAATTTAATAATAAATTGGGTTCAACAATTTATTGATCTTTTTAATACATATTCTATATCAGAATTGAAGTTTCCAAAATTATATTCATGGATCTATCATACTACTGATTTAATTAAAAAATATAGTTTTTTAAATGGATTTTTTGCTGAAACTTATGAAAGTTTTTATAAAGATTTTGTTAAAAAACTATATTATTTAACTAATAAACAAAATATAGAGGATCAAATAATGAAAATAGTAATAACTGTTTAATTTTTTAATAATGTTTATAATATTTTTATAAAAAGTAACTAAATTTATTTATTTTAAATAGGTTTAAAGACAGGCTATAGTATCAAAATTATTATCAAGCAAACCAAAACTATAAATCCTTTTAAATTTACTAATTCTGATGAACATAGCACTAGAAAAGTATAAACACAAACACAATGTTCTGCTAATAAATAAGAACAACCGTAATCAAATTTATGATAAATTAAGAAAAAAAATAGCAATTGATAGCTTAATTTCACTAAATCTAGCTCAATGTGATGACCATGCCAGTGCTTAACATATTTTTTACCTCATCAACTTCGGCAAAATCAAAACAACCATGCAGTTCGAACAGGTACGAGGTATAATCAGCAAACCCCAATCAGTCAACAGGCTAAAACTACTAAGACTCCCCAAAGACATCCCAGTAGATATAGCAGACATATTACTATTTATTCTACCAATTAAAGATAACTACAAAACTGCATTGGTTGCCCAAACCCTAAGACTAGTATATATATTTAGGAACTTACCAGATTCATATTTTGAAAACACCCGCATATCTCTACCCAGCCACCCTGGACAAGTACATCACTCAATACGAAATCTTTTTCCAATTAGAGATAGAGCCAAACTACAATTCTTATCAGAATATAGAAGGAAACTTCAAAAGTATTATATATTAAATAACAAACTACCTACATCATACTTCGATCTATCCTCTGAAAAACTTGATTTACTCTCAATACCCCAAGCACTTATCCAAGAAATTAGATATCTATTCCTGTGCAACTCTAAGAATAACAGTGAACTTAGAGATTTAGTAGCCAAACTCCGATGCAATTATAAATTTAAAAAGCTTCCAAGTAACTTCATTATTCATAAAAAACAACTTCCAATATTATTATCATGACAGAAAACAAAATTATCAGCTGACCATACCCACCTAGCAAACTTAATTAACCCTTGGTTTAAAACTTATACAGCAAATTGTAATAAATATAATGCATCAACACATCAATCAGTCAAAGGAGTAGCAATTGCACTGAAACTCTACTTACAACCCTATATTTATAATATAAAATCTATACCCAGCTATGCTTTAGCAATCGATCTGTTTTTCCCTAACAACAACAAGACCTGCATAATTGGTGTTTATATCCCATCACAACCCTTTACACTGACAAATTCTGTATAACAAACAATAATTAACTGGATCCAACAAGCAAGATCTTTCAATTTTAACACAATTGTTGCAGGAGATTTCAATTCAGAAAAAAACTATCAACCCTTATTACTTACCTTATAAGCTTCAACCTAATAAGCTTACTTAATTTCTTCAATATTGATGATTTCACTTGGCAAAACAACAACACCTCTAGCCAAATCGATGATATATGAATAAACCAAGAAATAATCTTGGATCTCACACAACCTTCTCTTTTATCATCACATTCATCAACCAATAGTGACCACCAAATTATCCAATCTCAATAGACAATCCTAAGCAAAATCTTAATATCTTATATTAAAAAAATAGAAAGAAAATATATATGTACCCAGAAACCATATAGGATAAATGGCAGAAATTCGAAGACTATATTAATACTTTTACTTTGTTAGCATTTAGCACTTTTTTCATCATTACAGACCAAGCCTCAATAGATAAACTATAGAATAACCTTTAACAAACTATCAAATAGGCAGCCAACAAACATATTCCTTTTAGACTAACATGCCTAAAACTATTTAAAGCCTATACAGAAAAAGCAACCCATTTGCACTTTGACTTGAAAAGGATGAACAAAATAATTAATATAATCAGTCACCCATCTCCTATAGCTTCCTCGTATATTATACTACAATTAAATAAGAAATTAGCCAAAATAGGAAATATACAACCTTTCACATCCACTTTCACTATCTCTGATCTCTTGCTAGCCAACTTTCAAAACACACTAATGAAACTTAAACAATTGCACAAAGGACTATTATACATAGCTAAAAATATTAAAAACCAACAACACCAAAAACAATTAATCCACAACAATATAGTCAAACGCCAACAAAATTTTACTAATAATACTACCAAAATGATAGATAGCATTCTTAAAAGACAAAGTCAATATATCTAATCAATCAATATTATGATATCTTCCACTGTAATCACAGAACCTAAAGAGATAAAAGAAGCTATATCAAAACATTTCAAAACCTGGACCAACTACAACCCCACAAATTCGAACTTATAGCCCAACTGGAAACAATACTATGCACCAATTCCAATGATTAACGAACATGATTACTCCCAGCTAACCCTACCTATTACAATTTAGGAATTAACAAATACTATAACAAAAGCTCCAACTAACAAAGCCACTAGCCATCTCTAATATCCAATGAAATGCTTAAACACCTATCTCCAGCTGTGCTATCAAACATACTTAATTGATCATCTGCCACAAATCGATAGAGTTACACTAATTAAATGTGATGGAAGATCATTATAAAAGTGATCAAATAGGCAATTTTCTGCTTTGAATAAAATTGCACAATCTTACTATATAGCGTATAAATTATTATGATTGGATCGGCTAATACTAAAATTATTTAACTTCGAAATTTAATAGTTCGTTATAACAACCAATTCGACATTTACTTTGGGCGGGCTGCTTAATTCAGAGTACCGTAACTATGAATATCTAGTGCGATTTCAAACATTAAGCAGGTCAAAAAAACTATTTCTAATTAATTTTTTCAGATTTTATAGTTCTTAGCTTGATTTTAAGTGTTTTACAACTATTTGGTTCACTATAACTATCGCTTAACTAAATCTAAGTATAAACTTTATTTATATTTTATAGTTATTATATCGAATCTTATTTACTTATTGATCTTTGTGGCTAATTTTTTTTTTTTTTTGCGTCGCTTGCTCCTTAAACTCAGCCGAATAGCTATTTATCTAATTTTTGATTGTGCTCACATTTGGCACATCTTCTTTTTCCACCTCCCTGGATACTACAAATTCTTGAAGGGAATCATGCATCTCTTGTGCAGTTAATTTATTATGAGGATTAATATTTCCATTCAAAAACATACTGATCAAAAATTGTTTGACATGTTTTTTTATACGTTTACCGCCACCTTTTTTACCATATTTTTGATTCCCTTTTACTGCCCAACCTTTTTTAAATCCATAGATTTGATCAACATCCATCAATTCATCACCTAGACAGGTAAAGCGCATTTGAAAATTATTTATTGGTAGAATTTAATCTGATATAATAATCATAAAATTTCTTACTTGACTCATTAGAATCTTTTGATATCGGACAAGGTAATACGTTAATTGTACCTATATTACCTGATGCTATTAATTTATAATACGTTGTATATCCTTAATAGATGTGTATAGCATATACGTATTGTAAGCGAAATTTTTTCTGATGACTTTACCATTTACCATTATATATAATACTCGGTTCCTATTCAAAAAATCCCGAATACTATTCATAGATCTGGTGATTTTATTTGCAGAGAAGAGATACTTTATATGGTAGAAGAGTATTATATATAGTGGCAAACGGTATATGATTTCTGCTAACAATTAGTTTGGTAGAAATTACAATTAGACATTATATAAGTAGCAAGAAGGAAAGTCAGTAAATTAACTTTAACCTTCATCTTTCAGAATTAGCCTCCGAAAAATCTTTAGCTCTAAGACTATAATAATGCAATACGTATACCAAAACGACCAGAATGACTAATTGTATATTCGATCACAAGTTTGTACAACTTACTCTCATTATAATGAAGTTTCTAAACTGAGAAAAAAATTGCACTATATCTTATATCAAGAGAATATTATATTTACTTCACTATATTGAGTTGAAGTTTAATAACTCTGAACTTAAAAAAAACTTCACTATAATGAGAATAAGTTGTATTATAGAATAATTGCTCAGAGGCTTAGTCGGGTGAGGTGAAAATTATTTTTGTTACTCATATAAAGCATATCATTAATCTTAGATAATCAAAATTAGCATTTATATTTACTTGGTCGAGCCATCGTTCATTTATTCTTAGGTGTAGTGGAGCTTGATAATACTGGTTCGGGCCTGGAGATTTCATTATTTCTAAAATTTGCTATTGTAGCTAGCGAAAAATGAACAGACTCACCAAAATTTGGCATTGGTCATGCTTGTATATAACCTGCAAATATGTCATCAATTGGCCATTTCCAATAAAAAAAATTAGAAATTCCTGGAATAGTATTAATGGTAACTTTTTTTTTTCATTAAGTTTTTCGGAATTGTTTTCCAATTGATTTACTTCTTTTTTAGATCTATTAGGTTGAATATTTGCGAGATAGGTTCCTGATAATCCTTTTGCTGCATCTACAATATCTGACCCTTCTGAAATATCGCATCCTATCCTTACATAACGATCTATAGCATGGGAAATCTATTGCAGAGGAAAAATTGTACCATATTTTCACGTAATAATGCTTATGAGCATTATTTAGAAAATTGTGGCCCTAAAAATATCATATATAGTTTCAAATAATGCTCATACGCGTCTCAAATAACGCACACCCTATAGTAAGAGGAGCCTATTCATAGTAAGATTTAAACAATACTTTGTACTAAGTAAATTTACTTTCGAACTTTAATAAAGTTGTCCTTCAGATCGTCTCGATCTGAAGAACAACTTTATTAAAGCTTAAAAGTAAGCTTACTTAATACCAAGTATTTTTTTTTTTTTATAAGATACTTAGAAACTTTATATTTGTTCTATCTGCATACTCTAAATAATGCATATATGCTCAAAATAATGTGCAGATGAGCATTATTGCATGAAAATACAGTAAGTCCAATAATTATAAAATGTTTTAGTGATAGTATTACGTGTCTAATCAAAGTTTATAATAATATACTTACAGCTGCGTAATGTGAATCAATCATAGTTTTGGCTTCGCCTGGCTCTAGAAATAACCATCCTCGAACTTCTATTTGGTACTACTCATACTAGTGTGCAACAATTACCATAACTTCGCTACAGTGATAGTGAGCGCCATTGTCAGATATAATATGAATCCACTTAGGCTTTTTTTTTATTGAAGTAAAAACTGCTTCGAAACATGAAACTGTAAACCAGGCATCCTGTTTTGTATCAGTTAACCAATGATCATATGCACTAACTTCTAAATCTTGTTCATTTTCATCTAGAGTAAAAACTAAGATAGTATAGAGAGTCCATTCATGTTTCCCAAAAAATTGTTGTTTAGTTTCTCGTACCGACTTTGGCAATATGCGCATTTTATAATCAGCTATAATTACTGCTCCATCTTTATTAATACTTCTTAATATTGGTTTAACCTGAGCATTTAAATATGCCTTTCTTGCTTAATGGGCCCAGTAATATTTTAACTTCTCTTGGTATTGATTTAATTGCTCACATTCAGTTTCAAGTTGTTTTGGTAAGGATTCGAATAGCTGGAAAAATAAATTACATTTTTCACAACATTTTTTGTGCGTATAATCACATAATCCGAAAGCATAAGGTAAGCAATGATTGATACAATTATCATGAAATGTTGTTCCATCATCATTAATTACTAATTCTCGTTCGAACTCTCGTTTCAAATGCCTCTTTAAATTATCGATATGTATTAAAAGTGGACTCTAATATAATACATAATTGAGTTTTTTTTTTTTTTATAAAAAATTTTTTGGAATTATTAAATACATACTAATTTATCTTGTGATTTTATATTGCTTCTGATTATAGCAATTAGATCTTCAAATACTTCAAATCCGTATTGGCTATATATTTGGCACAGTCCGCCAAGGTCTTCACGATATTTAATATTAAATGCATCTGCTAACCGTCCCATAAATAATGTTTTTT